GGCACTAATCCCATTCATGAGTGCTCTGTCCTCATGGCCTCATCACCTTCCAGTAGGTTCTACCTCTTACTACTGTCACCTTAGGATTAATATTTTAACATAAGAATTTGGGGGGTGGGGAACAGAGTCTTGCTCTGTCTCTTGTGTTCAAGTGCAGAGGTGTCATCATAGCTCACAGCAACCTCAAACTCCTGGGCTCAAGTGATCCTCTTGCCTCAGCCTCCTGAGTAGCTGGGTCTATGGGTGCCCACCACACCGCCCAGCCAACATATGAGTTGTGAAGGGACATAGACTTTCAGATTATAGCAGCAGGATTCATCAAGTATCATTCAATATTTTGATTTAAAATTATTCCTGAAAGTTTTATGAATCCTAATAGCAAAGCCACTAACCTTGAAAGAAGCTGCGCGTTTTCTGAAACTAAATGTTAATTGCTTTCTGTAGGCTGGGCACTATGCTGAATGCTTCACACAACTTGTGTCCTTTTAATCCTCAGAATTGATTTGAAAGTAAAGTTAGCTTTTTAATCCTCCCAACTTCCCTGTTACATGTAATTATCACCCCCATTTTGCTGATGGGGAAACTGAGGCTTAACTAGCTAGATAACGTACCCCATGGTTGACAGATAAGCAGATTTGAACCTATTTAGCCTGGCTCCAGGGCCCACCTTCCTATCTACCATATCCTACCTACAGATCAAGTCTGCACGGCCTCTGGGTGGTTTCTGGGAGAGCAGGAGCGAAGTTGCTTATTAGATAAGATAGAAGATATTGGAAAAGGCTGGGGCTGGGGAAGGAGGGCAGACAGTGAGTTCTGGGGCGCTGGCAGATAGTTGGAGGACACCTGGGGTGCATCATGGCTCCAAGGAGAGCACATGTCTTCCAAGAGCTGCAGTCTTGGGCTGGGTCACAGGTAAGAACTGGTTCTGGGTGACCAGAAATGGCCTGTGGACAGAAGTTGGAAACTGTAGCCTTGAAGCTGCAGTCTGGGGGCCAAGCCTGGGAAGTGGACTAAGTGGTCACCTGAGGACAGGGGGCAGTGTGTCTCTGGAAGGCCCTCAGGGTCCAAGCATGTGCACGGAGGGACCCAGGGCTGATCACCCGACTCCTGTCTTCTCTTTGCAGTGGAACAAGTGGCCAATGTGGTTCTCTACTCAAGTGATTATTACGTCAAGCCGGTGGCCATGGAGGAAGCACAGTGAGTGACTGGTTGGGCTTCCATTTCCTGGGCGGCTCAGCTTTCTTTGTCAAGTTCCTCTTTTGTTCATCACTGAAGAGGGAACTAGAAAGCTCAGCTAGCCGGCCGGGCTGCCGCTTCCTTCCCCTTGTCTTCCTCTGAGGGCTGCAAAGAAAGTTAACAGCTCACCCTGTGTCTGCCTTACACGTCCGTCACCCATCTCACAGGGTGTCTGAGGCTGAGGCCAAGCTAAAGAATGATGGAGAGGAGAGAAGTAAAGTCAGGAATGTCACCATGGGAAAGCAGGGCCTTTCTATTTATCCTGGGAATGAGCGGTGAGGAATGGATGCTCTTTCTGCCCCCACCAGAGTTACACAAACTATCCACCCAGACAGAGTCCCATCATTTGACCCCCTCAGTTTACAAATCTTGCACCAATGAGAGCTGGATTAGAATGATGTACTCGTACCTTCTAGCCTGCTGTTGAGAATGACCGTCCTCCTTTTATTAGAATCAAAACCAAATGAAAATCCTGCAAACGGCTCCTCCATGCTGGCATGAGACACCTGCTCAGTTTTGCTTTGTGCCAAGAAGTCAAATGGATTTATTTAACACACAGGCTTTGCAGGCCTGATAGATCAGGCAGCTCTTTCGTCTTCACTTCTGGTGTATTCTAAGCACCACTGTATGTAACAAAATACTGCCAGGGTGAAGGGAGGCTGGGGTTGGTGGTGAGGAAAGACAAATTGATTCATTAGGACAATATTACCTAATATTCAAAAGGCAACTTTAAGGAAAAATGTTACTATTACTGAAACAGATTCAGCCTTCAGTTGAAACTCAGGTCTGCAGGGGAGGAAAGCAGGAAAGAACTGCCACTCCCTAGCTGCCTCCTTTGTGTCTGGACTGGGCTCTGTACTGCCTTTTAGGGTCATCCTTGTCCATCCTTGTTCCCTGGGGGTCTTGGCCCTGGCTTGCCTTGTGGCATGTGCCCAGCAGCAACAGGGATAAATGCTCCTGGCTGAGTTTTCCTCTAACATATAGCATTATCTGGGCCTCTTTTAAACTCTTGGGTGGATTTTGGGCCAAACAATTCCCAGGAAACTGGAAATCATTCCAGGGTCCCCCCAAAGGTGAGAGTAGACTGGAAGCTGGGCCAGGCCATCGTAGCAGGTCTCAGGTGAAAGGCCCCCCTGAAAGCTACAAAGCATAAGCCATCATCCCAGAACCCCATGACTCCCGGGGCTCTGGTGGGCAGGCCTCTTAGAACCAAGCCACTGCCTGTCATCCCATGCCAGGTCCTGAGGGCACTGGGAAGTGGCCCCATGCCCTTGGCGCAGTCCTCGGGCAAGTTCTGCTGCTCGGATGGCTCTCATCTGAGCTCAACCCCAAGGGCCCCACCTACTCCTGTCACCTTTGTGTTGCGTTTTCTGCCTTCGTCGATGCTGCTGCCCAGTTATGCTCATAAAGAGAGGTTCTACAAGGACCAAGATGGAGGATGTGAGCCACCTGGGCTCCAGCAAAGTTCTGTAAAGAGCTTCCGGCTAGGCGCCTGTGGCTCAAGCAGCTAAGGCGCCAGCCACATACACCTAAGGTGGCGGGTTCGAATCCAGCCCAGACCCGCCAAACAACAATGATGGCTGCAACCAAAAAATAGCCCGGCATTGTGGCGGGTGCCTGTGGTCCCAGCTACTTGGGAGGCGGAGGCAGGAGACTCGCTTGAGCCCAGGAGTTGGAGGTTGCTGTGAGCTATGAAGCCACAGCACTCTACCCAGGGGGCAGCTTGAGGCTCTGTCTCAAAAAAAAAAAAAAAAAAAAAAAAGAGATTCCAGTACACTGGAGGCAGGATAAGCTGCTGCTGCTTTAGACTCTCCAGGGAGATCAGATAGGCAGTCCTTTCATGAGGCGGCAGTTCCAACTTCCAGCTGTCTGGGGACCGGGTTAGGAAACAGTCTGATGCCAGCTCCTAGGCAGGGTTTTCAGGCCACATCCTACCTTCCTCTGGTGGGTCTAGGATAGAAGGTCTGCTGCTCATACACCCGGGCTCTGCAGCAGAGAGTCTGCAGCAGAGAGTCTGCAGCTGTGTGGCCATGGGCACACTTTCTAGACAAAATGGGGATCTTGAGAGCACCTGCTGGGTATGAGGCTGTTAGCGGATAAGGTGAGAGGTTGTAAGAACAGGTCTCAGGCCCAGCACATGTGCACATGTGAGTGGCAGAGCCACCTTCCCACCTCAGAGGCTGTGTCGTGATCCCAGCGACGCTGTCAGGCTCTGAAGAAACCCACGCAGCTGTGTCCCCAGCTCAGATCTCTGACTTGCCCTTTGGCATGGGGTCCCTGCCATCTCTTGTTGGGAAACCCATAACCTAACTGATAATCAAGAAGATCTGTTACCAAAAAAAGCATGTGCCACTGCGGACCCAAGCCAGCCTGGTGATGGTTCACAGATGGAGGCCCCTGTGTCACCCTTTTCCTCAGCTCACCACGCAGTCACACTCTGATCCCCCTACTAGTTCCAGCCCGGCATGATGCAGACACTAGCCACAGGGCTCTGCAGCCCACTGTGTTGTTCATAGTCTCAGGAGGAGATTGACTCTTGGGCCAGTTGGTCTTGTTTAACTCCACAGAACGTTCTGGAAACTCAGCAATTTGGACCAGGCTGAGATGCTGAGGAAAGGCCCTCCTGTTGCTGCCAGCCTTCTCTGAGATCTCACTAAGGCTGCTCTGCTTCTCATCGGGCACATCCATGGGCACCTGGGCTGATCTTCCCAGGGAATCGATTTGGGAAATTTGATCCTGGAAGATGTTAAATGGCAAATAGGATCTGATGGGGGTTAGTAGTAGCTTGTACAGTCAACAACTTTCTCTGTTTTTCTTCCTCCAGAGAAAAAGTGCCACCAAACAGCACTTTGACTAAGACGCTGACGCTGTTGCCTTTGCTGGCCAACAACCGAGAAAGGAGAGGCATTGCCCTGGACGGAAAGATCAAGCACGAGGACACCAACCTGGCCTCCAGCACCATGTGAGTCCTCCAGGCTCAGGATGTGGCCTGAGACACGTGAGGGGCTCCCCCTCCTGTAGGGTGCCCAGGGCTCACAGTGCACATACACAGCGTGACGGCCTGAAGTTTGCTATGCAGGCTGCAGACAGGGGCCTGAATGAGGGTCCTACTCCCACCCTGGGGTGATGTGGTGATGACACTTATGGGCTCTGGGGACAGCCCTGTGTTAATTCATTCTCCACTGCCTGTCCTGTGGATGACCTTGGGCAAAGGACCTGAGCTCTCTGAGAACTTCAGTTCTCCCATCTGTAAACTGAGGGTGATAATTGTTCCACTCTCATAGAGTGGCTATAAGGATTAAGAGACAGTCCATGGGCTCAGTGCCTGTGGCTCAGTGGCTAGGGCGCCAGCCACACACACCAGAGCTGGAGGGTTCAAATCCAGCCTGGGCCTGCCAAACAACAATGACAGCTACAACCAAAAAATAGCTGGGTGTTGTGGCAGGTGCCTGTGGTTCCAGCT